CCTAAAAGTGCGCCAAGATGGAAAGACAACTGATGACATCACGTAAGGCTACAACACCAAGAATCATTTAGAAGAGTAGTCTTCCAATCTGCCCAAGAGCAGAAAAAAAACCCCTCATCCCCAAAAGCAATACATTGTTAGATAATACTCAAGTATTCTGTTGATAAATCAACATGATCCACAGTCATTTTAAGTATGACTACAAAACATCATGTGCTGTGAATGGGTTCTAAGACTTTTCAGGAAATTTTAAGACCTGGAGATAGTCATACAGTTGTACTGAATACAAGTAAACTAGGAAACCTTGTCTAAGAAGAAAAATATGCATCTGAAGGCAGATGTACTGTTTCATAAGTCAGTGTTGTCCTGCGAAGGAATTACCTTCAGCCACAAGATCAAACAGATCATCACAAGTCTTAGGTTTTTTTAGGTGCTCAATTTCCCTTCTATTCAGCTAACCCATCATAAACAGTAACTCCTAACTGGTTTTACTGCACTTGATTGCTTCACACAGCCTTCTCTATGTTCAGCAGCTATTACTCAAATTACAAATCCCCAGCACATAGCAAGTAATTGAGATTTCCCAGACACCTGAATTCTGGGAGTTGTACATGGCAACACTGGATAAGAACTCAAAAGGCAAATGCAGCAGTATCTACAAGTTCCAACATACGTCAACACTACATGTGGCAACACGACAGGAACTTCACCTGAGCAAAGAAGGCCAGAATGAAGACAGTACAGAATATATATACACAATATCAGCACCTGGAGATTGCTGCAGCTGTATAAAAAGGAAAGAAAAAAAGGCTGTAAGTCCATACAGTGAATATGGTGTATGTTTTATTCTATTTACAGTACATTTGTTATAAATATAATACATTTCTTGAAAATCTTGAGTAGATTTTTTTAAAACAGATCAATTGTTATAGTTACATAATAAAGCAAGTGACAATTTAAATGACAAATCTCATGGTTGTGAAATAGTGCATTCTGCATTGAGATGAGTGAGAAAAATACTCAAACTGGTTGAAGAAATTATTTAAATACCTTAGGTGGGACTTGTATGTTAACCTTGAAAGGTTACCAGTTTCCATAAACATGAAAACTCAGAACAAAATTTTAAACTAAGGAACTGAGAAACAGAAACAGATTTGAGACACCTTATTGAACTTCACAGTAAGGTTAGGATTTATCATGACTAATGGCTTCAGACAGGAAAAAGCCAATGACGGTTTCTTCCTGAACCATACCCTAATACAGCCACAAATATTAACATACCATGCTGGAAGTTGTAACAGCAGTCAAGCTGCTTTTTTGACAGGGCATAGGACATAAATACGTTCAGATTTGGAGTTAAAGAGTATTTTGTGTTATGAATATTTTAATTACCAGAGAAGAAATACATTATAAAAGGATAAACGTATTTTCAGTCCAGCGTGCGTTGCATTGAGAAACAAATTGACATGTCATCTGAATATTTTGCTATTTTCTTTCCTACACAATCTTTAGTAACAAGTTAGATGTTTGAGGTGCTATTTCCAAAAACTGCAGCAAAATGCCGACCAGCAATATAAGAAAAGAATCCCATTTATTTTGTCTTTTAGTGTGACTTTTTTCAGGAAGCGGTCAGATGTTATTGATAATAATCAGTGCAGGCATGGAATTCTGCTGACTCGTTTCAAGCAAAGTAACTTGATCCACTAGCTTGGCAAATACTCTGGGGGTTCCAAGATTATAGACACCTGTATGAACAAAGCAAGCTTTCAGCTGCAAGCTATAGACCTCCTGGCTCTTAAGTTGAAGCTTGTACTGTGTTTGTCCAAGCCATGTAAAAGATCCATGGACTTCTAGTGCTTCTGGGCTGAAAAAGAAGGTAACAGTTATTTCTCTGTATTTGAAGCATACATACCAGTTTACACAATTCCCTCAACCCCAAGTTTTCCCAAGATTTCAGAATGCAACAATTTCAGATGGTATATCATGGTACCAAATTCTCTCTCCCACAGAATCCTTAGTAAAACTTTTAGAAACCATTCACAAAACATTTCTTCAGTGTTAATATTTTCACACATAATACTACCATTCTATGCAAAAAGCCAGTCATAAGAACCAGCTGATAAACTAGGGGAAGCCTTAAAAATACTTAAGGTTCTATGACATTTTATACTAAGCCAAACTGCAAGAGAAAGTACTTGTTTAAACTTCAAAAGTTGTTTCCTACAAATTACTTGATATTTTTAAAATTAAAACCTAACAACATGTTTAAGTAAGGTTGCTGATGGTCATATTTCACTAGTTCAAAAGCATTTCCACTTTCCTAGAAACGATCTGCTGAGTTTAACTATTCGAGTGTCTTGTCTTGGCAATAGTCAGAAGCAAAGTAAAATGGAGCACTGACTGAAGAGTCCCATTTGACTGTATGAAGCCTTTATCACCTTCCATTCTTTCCAAGAATCCACTATTGAAGAAATCCTATTCTAGATATCTAATACAGTTAAAACATTACAAGACTCCCCAAAACTAGGAAGCATTCTTGGAAAATATTGTTTTATTAACATTCACACATTACCTTGTTGTTTTATGCCGCAAATCAATCATTACATCTACAACAGCCTGGGAACAATTGGAAAGTAGGAGAGTGACAGGTACCAGACACAGGCTGCAAAGAGGAAATAGTTCCATAGTAAAGGAAAACAGTCTTCCTCTGGATGGTCTTAATTATACTCTTTAACAGTTAAAATAAATTTAAAGTAATATAAAATTAACATGCAGTTATCTATTATGCAACAGTCAATGTACATAGCAATATAATCACTTACATGACTAGAGTTTCCTATAATAAAAGCTATTGAGACAAACGGCATTGGCTCAGTTGAGCTAATGAAGTTACCACCTTCCTTCATCCAGCTGAGAAAGACTAGCAAAAGCATAAATAATACCTTAGGTTACAGGAAATCTACTGTTACAACAAGAGACATTTCAGAATGGGATAACATCATCCACTATGCTACTCTCTGAACCATTGTTCAGCACATTTTGTCTACATACTTTCCTTCTGCACCGTCTCCTGTAGAGGTATTGCTGGCATCTGGTCTAAAGCATTAGCCAGAACAGTGCCAAACGGAACAGACAGCACATACACATTTAGAGTTAATTTAAGCCTTTACCCTGAATAAAACTAATACAGTTAGTTGATATTCTGCTTGTTCACACTTAGTATGATTATTTTTATAAATAATGCTGCAGCAAGAAAGACCCCAAGATATTCACAGGCAGGTACACAAACTGCTGCAGGTGAGACAGCTCTATGTATGCAACAAGTGATTTATGTCACTGGAATTCCTTGCCATTGCTTAACAGTTTAAATATCCTGAACTTGACTAACAAGAAAAGAACAATTAGCAACCACAATGAACAAGATATGAACTAGTTGCCGGAATAATGCATGCTTTGTAACCATCATTAAAATATGACACCTTATAAAACATTTAAATGTTAGATTTTATAAAGAAAGAAATCCTTTTCTTTTGGCAAGTTACTTATATTAACTGAAGTTTTCAGGAAAAAAGTATAACACAGTAGAGTTCTCAGATAAAAACTCAAACCTAAACAGGTATGTTTACGTTTCAGGTACAATGCATTTCATACCTGGAAATGAATCCAGAGGGCTTTGTTCAGATCATTTTAATTTTGAACAACTCATGGGTTTTACAGGCTCTAACTAATTCACTCTAGCAATCTGCTTTTTCCACAGAGGTTAATTCTGATATGCTTCCAGGAGACAAGCCCCAGTGACCTAAACAGTTACCACTTTTCCTTCTGACATAAATCAGAACTATGTGCAGCTAATCTTGGCAAGTCAGATGCTGCAGACATAACAGTTCTTTTGACTTGAAGTACCACTTTCTGTCTAGCTCCTCAAAATAGTCACACTGTTTACTCTGACATCAAAAATAAATATTCTGCTGCCTCTGCATTTATTTTTCTCAGTAAGTTTGATAACATTACTAGTTAACATTAAAACTCTGAGCTCTTGTATTATAGCCTTTTTCTCTACCTGAAACTTTCATTTTACCTATACAGTCCTGAAGTAATGAGTTAAGATTTGAGCAAGATTTCACCCTTGCATACCCGACTTTCATCTTTTGTATCATAACCCACATAGCATCTCAAACACAACTTACATCAAATTAGCAATATTTCAGAAGTTTCTAAAGAAAACACTGCACGAACCTTTTTTCATGAAAAGGATGACTGAAAGACTCTGGATAATGAAGACTTGTCTTGATAAGATTAGAAAGCTGCTCTGGTGTTGGTCTTGCAGGTACTGGTATGTTTTCTGATCGAAAAAACTTCAATAGAACCATTTCTGGCAATTCCTGAAACAAAAATTCAGAACACTGTTTCAAATATTGACATAAGGTACTGTGCAACACAACACAAGAAATCCAGTCACAGAAGCTACAATTTTCAATTATGAACTATAACTCCAGGGAAGTAAGTCTACAGCATCCTGAAGCTTACGGGTTTTTTTCTCCAATGTGTTTTGCATTTAAGTGTGCTAGAGAAGTACCTGATGATTTATTTGTTACCATCTTTTGAGACAGAGGTTTCACAGCTGCTTGTGAAAACATTACCTGCACAAGTTTCACAAAAGCATGCTGTTGTTGTAGTGGTTCATTAGTTTTTGTTTTGTTTCCAAGAAAAAGGGACAGCATTTACATAGTTCCCTATTCAGCAGCTAAAAAAAAAAAAATATCCATCACCTGTCCTGGGAAGTTCACAACAGGAAAGCCAAGTTACCCAAAACAAATCCAAAGTAAAGCAAACAGAAGTTTATAGCAACAAGCTAACAGTGACAGAAGCATTTAATAATGCAGAGTGTCTTAAAAACTGTATAGCAAGCTCTTGCAGATAAGAAAGTTACCATTGTCCCCAGATGAAAGCTCAACTCAAGCACTGACACACTACTTGGGATTCATCCTGTAGTGAATCCCCTGTGGGCAGAATCCATCTCTGAAGCAGAATAAACCAGATTATACAGAAAGATGTGACACTGAATTAGGCAATCAGGCTGCATTTGGTTCAGCATTACAGCACTACTGTAACTCTGTCCAACATCATCTAATCTGTTTTGCCAATAGGATTTATTTTGGAAGGGGCTGCCTTTCATTATTCCCTTATGAAACTATTCTGCAAAAAGTCCACCTTTAGAAGAAAAAAAAAAAAAGAATTTGCAGCAGTAAGTGTGACTAACTACTAAAAGCAAGTGAAAGAAGATTTTAAAAAGCCACCAATAAGTCAGTACAGTCTAAGAAAGCAATACTTTTTGTTTAAGGGTGATGGATTATACCGTTTAAGTCAAAAAGAAATACTATAGGCAAGAAAACCCGATTCAAAATAACAGACACACTGGGCATTCTACAATATGTACGAACATCTCAGTCACTGTTTTTCTGTGCTGGTAATACCAGGAAGACATCAAATGTTTTAATCAAGCTTGCAATTCTTTCCTCTTGAAAGGAAGAATAGAGTGGTTTTTTTTAAAGTAATTTGAGAAGAAAAAAGGTATTTCACAGTATCAATGCAATATATTTTAAGCAATTAATTCATTTGGTATTTCCACCCTACCCTACGGGTATCTAACTTGATGAAAACTGACAGCAGGAAACACACTGGCCTCCAGAGATGAGATTATAGGTTTTCATTTAACTTGATCTTTCCCCTCAAATTACAGTCCAACCAATTATTCAATGCCATCTTCAATGACACAGCAATATCCTACACACTGTAGTTTGCCCTAGAGTCAGTTACCTGTTCCAAGTCCTCCCAATCAGAATTCCCGAGTATTTTTTTAAATCCCTACAAAAGACAAATATGAAGGTTTATCTCTACAAACAGACAAGAACATCATGAAATGCAGCAGGAACATTTACTGGTGAAAGTGCAGAGTGCTTTCAAACCTTTAGTTCTAATATTACACCTCTATTGAAGGACTGGAAAGCAGTAAGATTAACCGTTTACCATCACAGAGCTAAACTTTAATTCCAGCCAGCTTCTGGGTGTCAGATTCAGAAAAGATGTCTGTGTGTCCAAGTTCTGCTGCTCAGTCTAGCTTTTTTGTAATAGTGTCCTAGAACAAAGGCTAAGATATGACATTTAGTACATTATTCTCATACTTAATGGTTCAAGAGAGAATTAAGCACTTACAAATGGTAAACAAGAAGATGCACACATAGATCAGGGAGCTACTGAGAGATAGCTAATAGGAAATGCTAAGTTTAAGGATGCATTAAATTCCTGCCCTACTCTGGAGCTTGGGAAATTGGATCAAGGCTACAAAAAAAGATGCCCATACCTACCTGGGCACCTGTACCGTCCCTTCAAGAATATGCACTAAGCAGATATCAGCCTCAAATTTTTCGTTATTTACACTTCGAAAGAAAGTAAAACAAAACCAAGAATTAAACAGGTGGTATTTTTTTTCTGAACTCCTAGAATACCAGCTCCAGAGAATACTCCAAATGGAGTGTTACCCTTTTAAAGGCAAAAACAAAAGTTCAGACACCTAAAGTTTACTTGTTCACCCATTATGGACCTTTGCAAAGCTCCAGCAGTGCCATGGGCTCCAATGGACAGCAAGCACCACATATTGCATACAAGAAGGCCACAACAATGGTTAAGATACTCCTTTCAAAAAATGGTTAAGGTGTAATTTGAAGGTCTCATCCACACATAGTGGAAGACGTACAGATAAGCTTGAGTGGAAGAGACTTCATCATAAGAAGAGTTTGGAAGAACTGTACAGAGAGGTGGGGGGACGTTTTTTCTTACTGTTTTAAATTTTAGATCTGCATTTTTAACTTTTTGGCTTTTGTCTAGAAACACGCAACAGGCACCAGAACCACACCGCTCCCACAGTTACCTTTCAAGAGATACAAACTGTGCAATTGGTGCTAGGAAAGTTGTCTCTGTTTTTAGAAAGCTTCTTGTTGCCCAAAGCCATCTACAAAGGCCAGCCTCAAACAAATATACTTAAAAGCTAGACACAAGCTTGCTGCTCCAAGTAGAATAATCTCAACATCTCCACTTATTCAGTAGTTACAAAAGAGCCAGGACCTTTAGAGTCTGATGTTTTGCTACTTTGAAACAAAGTTATATATTACCCCTACTTACACCTCTGAAATTGCGTATTAATCATTTACACTGCTTTTATCTCCTGCAACTGTACTAAGCTAAAAGTTGGGGGGGGGGAAAAAAATCAAAATGTATACCATTCAAAGCATCTTTTGCATTATCTGCTAGATGTAATAGACAGTTCTGCCCATAATACATTCCTTAATCTCTTAGAATGCACTTTCGAACTGAGAAAGTTCTTAATTTCCATCAAATGCATGGAAGTGATGGTATCTTCACATGCAGTCATTTAAAAGGATTTTTCTACATAATATTAGACATCTTAAAGTTTCCAATTTCAAAAACAATCTTCTCAATGACTGGGTCAATGTGCTCTTAAACACACCAGAAAAAAGTTAACCATCACAATTTGATTTCCAAGTTGTATGGAAATTCAGCATATTTGCCCCATAAATTACAAGTTATACATAGCCAAAGGGATTATTAACATGCTCAGTCAAGTATGAGGGACCAATATGCACAGCACAGAAGAAAACCTAAACAGGAAACTCTTGAACAATGTTAAGCCTAAGTAAAAGCAGAATATATGAAAGTAACAGAATAAGAGACAAAGTGAGATCTTAAGTGATACATCTTTCTCCCTTTCCCATTTTAGATCAGAGAACTCACATTTTAAAACCTCACTTTGAAGTTGGTTTCCTTCACTATGTGAATCATCTATATTCATTCTAGGTCCTAGCTATAGAAATTACGACTCCTGGAACAGTGTTTTCCTAAGACACCAGTAATAATGCATTTGAAAACACAAATATCATCAGTACTGCAGTCCAACAATGGGTAAAACAGTAGATATAATTTTTCAGCTATTTGGAATATTTCATTAATGACAATAACATAAGCCAGTCCTCCCAAATTGGTACAGTAATTGGTACAGTAGAGTGAAAAAGGTACACTTCAGCTCTTGATGTTTATTTACCCTTCAGAATTTTGCTTTCCCTCCACCAATCTAGTTTAAAGAAAGTCTTAAATCATTCCAACAACTTCTGTTTGATTCAAGTATCTCTTCCCATGTATTCTTACAGAAAAATCTGAACTAGCACAAAATGTCACTTGTAGTAATTCACTGTTAGGAAAAATGAAGTTATTTAAACCCTACCATTTCCTACCTTTCAAAAATTCCTACTTCCAACCAAACTGCTGGTGCCTCACTGAGTTGCATTTACATTAAGAAGCAGTGTTATCAAAAAGTACCATCTCTGAAGTGAAACACTGCCAACAAGCCTGCATCCATGCTGTATACATTTTATGGATTTTACTTTGTGCTAGCACTGGTCTAATCCACAGGACTGAATGAGCAGCCCAGAAGCACATCATGTGCAGTCCTGGAGCACATCTCGATTAATTCTGTCTAGAAGGCATCCATTTTGTGAGTTACAAGACCACTACAATGAAAACAGAGGGCTGTAAATGGGGACAATATCTTAAAAAAAGAGGATGCCTGATCTAAAACACAGTTGTAGACACTTTATCTCATCTAGACTTCAGTCAAAACTAAGTTTACACTCACATGCTAATGTGTTTCAGAAGTATGGATGCACTATTCCCAACACGCCAGCATGCCCAAGTGACAAGCCTCTACTAGTCTGCTTCTCACTTTCCACCAGTGTGAAGTCTTTGCCAATCAGAAGTGTGGCAAATGCCCCAGCCCCACGCTACAACTTCCATCCCATTGTATTATACTGCTTTTCCTTTGGAGTCTTTTGGATTGAATTCACCAGATTATAAAAATATGGGAGACAGCAGTAAGAAATAATATTAATCAACAGCCCTGACTGTGAATGGATGTTTTAAGTATTTGAAGTTTTTGTGCTTTTACTAAGTTAAGGTAGAGAGGTCAAGAACAGCTTTATTTCTGATGCAATTCTGAGTTGACCTTCAGTTAAAACCACCTGATTCCTGAAAACAAATTTCAGAAGATAAACAGAAACCATAGCAGTATCGTTGTTAAAAAAAGAACAGTCATTAGTTATAAATACCCAGCTAATTTTTATTATTGGACTCAAACAGCTACTGCTAACACATTTATTAAAACCTATTCACTTTATTAACACCTTACGTTATTTATTCTTCATATATTGTTGCTTGTGACTATAATGTATCACTTTGCAGCACCTTTTGGGTTTCTGATTCAAGGAAGTAAACTATATTTAGCATTTTTCCCCTACCTTTAGCAAGAGACCATTTGTTTCAAATACACAAATGAGAGAAAGGATAGGAAGATAAAAGTTTTCCACATAATTCAGACAGCTTTCTATATGAAACAAAGAAATGCTTTAACAGAGTCAATATTCTTTAAGCGTTCCTTCATGTGCTATGATTCCAAACTTCTAGAACATAAAAGATGTAAGTAGTTCATCACATCACCTGATAAGTCTACTATGTCCGATAGCACTGCTCTTGAGCATAGGTTACGTAGTTAAATAAAAAAACCCTGTAGTGTAACAAAAAAAACTCCCCTGTGTTCCGTGACAGAAAACCAGTAAGTTTCAAAGTCACAAGTTATCATTGTCTTGGTCAGAATGAAAGAAGTTTAGCATTCATAGTTCTATTTTGAACAGACATAGTAAAAAAAAAAAGGAAGCACATGCATTTGAGCATCCAAGTAAAATTTGTAGAGAATTTTACTGTTGTTGTCTTTCTTTTTTTGTGGGTACACGCAGAATTTCTAGCCAAAGATTTTACGCGACCCCCAAACCCCATTATCCTATGTTTTATAGAAACTAGATGGTTTTATCTTGATTTTATCAAATACTATGGCAAGTTATGCTACCACGATACAGGAATAATCATATCCTGCTGTCTGTTCCACATCCCAGTTGTGTGTATTACATGTGCCACAATGAACCAAGCAGAAGTAACCACCTGCCCTTGAATGTCAGTCAACAATGTAACATCTTAGCTCGGAGACACAATAAAGATGACTTTGTATCAGTTCACCCAACTACCAATCTACCAGCAACAGCTGGAAGAACTTGAGAAAAGTAACAGTGCCAATGAATACAGATCAATACAGATCTACAGCTCTTCTACTACAGTGCTTTACTGCAGCTTTGTTTCCCCGAACAGTTCTAGAAGCTTCCATAAAGCTAAACTAAATTCTTAAAAACTGGCAAAGAATTAGTCTGAGACATACCATAATTACCAGTACACAGAATTTAACCAAAATATAAAGCAAGCTGTCTTGATTTGTTCAATGTAGTTATTTCATGAATTCAGCCAATATTTGAGTCATTTCTCAGAGGGCTAAAAAAAAAATAAAGGGGGTGCAGAGAGAAATCTTGCTTGTGTTTCCCCCATGTCTATTGTGAGACTGTACTTGGTTGGGAATGGCTGTATTGTCACACAGACAAAAAAATTCCTTTGCTTGTTGCAACAGCATGAAGCAGAAGCAGCTGAAGTCAGTAAGTCACTAAGAGCAACAAGCAGAACACAGCAATAAATGCAAGGAGCAGACTCTTGCATCCTAGGTGACTCCCTGTTCAGAATCTGCAAATAAATCTATTTTTTCAGATCTAAGCAGCCCTTTACCATTTAAGAACTGGTAACTAACATGCATTGGTAAAAAGCACGCCTCTCCATCTCCCTCTGCTGTCTAGACCACAGAAAACAGTTTCTACACTGTCGGCACAAGACATCCAGGAACAGTCCAGAGTTTCCAACCCTGGTTATGACTTAGAGAATAAATACAGATTTACAAGACAAACTATTTGAGTGTCTCAAAACTATATACTGAAAATGTTAAGTTAAAAGTAACGTTTATGTTTGGGATTTTCTTCTCACCGAGTTTTTCACTCCTTGAGTAACTTTAATGCAAAAGCAAGATAATTCAAAGACAATACACAATCCTTAATAGATTAAGTATATTTTCTCTACCTAGCCACATTTATTCCTATTTTGGGGATTCTTTTAATTCTTAGATGTGGAGTGAATGAAGTAAACTGCTGCAAAGTCTCAAATCAGTTTGTTATACCTTAAACTCCTCTGAGATGGGAGGTATCTACTCTCCTTACAGTATAAAGTGCAAAGTAAAATAAAAGCAGTACATGAGCATATGTAATTTCTCAATTCTCAGCAGTCCTGATATTACAGGCTCTTAAAATCCAAGTTAAATCTGGGCTTTGGTTACCATGAGGACCTAAAAATTTATACATTTATTACAAACAACCACCATTACTCTTATACCAGATTTCAACTGCATCACAATGCAGATGCATTTTTGCTTCCAACCAAGGTATAGAATGCTTCAAAAGAAGTATATTCCTTACGCTGAAGAAAGTGAATACAATAAGCGATGTAGCATCTATTTGAATCTAGTTGTAATAATAATTGATGAGAAACAAATTATAGGCAGAGAACACTAATGTATTACTCAAAACAAATTGAGGGTACATCTAGATCCTCTTTGCTGCTGCTGGCAAGATTCATTTCTTTTAGTTTGAAACTGAATTTGATGCAGACAACTAAATTTCCGGTGCAGGAAAATGTAAATTTTTCAACAGGGAATGTAAATTTCTACCCATAGCATGGTCAGTTGTTTGTTTTAGGATGCAGATGTGATTCATTCCTACTTTTCTTCCCACCCACTTGCTGATCTCATTGAGGTCTGGTTCCAGAAGTCCAGAGTTTTCTCTCCTAAGAGACAACTTCAGGGCTTTCTCTCCTAAGTTTTCTAAGACAACTTTAGAGGTCTACAGTGTGATCTACTGTTCTACATACACCTTAAAACAGGAAAGATAACACTGGAGCGGGCAGTTGTCGTTAGACTAATACAGACTCGTATTGCTCAAGCATAGCTTGAGCCCACATGTGCAAAGGCTTTTTTGGGGGGTGTTAAGTGAAAAAATTGTCTTCAGACATTAAAACTTAAATTTTCCTATTTTTCAGTACTAATGAACACCAGCCAGTTTAGCTCAAACTACATGCACCTTTTGATCTATTCCCATATCTACTTCATAGTGCAAAGAATTAAATGGAAAAATCATCTCAATGATCTAAAAATAATTAAATGCTTATGAATCAAAGTGCACAGCTTCAGAGTAATTATTTGTTATAGCATGATATGTATAGAAATACACATCTGTCCTAAGTTGTTTTCTTGACAAAATTAATGTATAGTACTATGTGCTGCAACTTCAAGAGCTCAATAAAAGCTACATATGTTTGCAACATCAGTAAAAATATAATGAAAATGGCACCAAAGCAAGACGCAACAGCGATGTACTGCTCAGCAGAAGACTAAACAAGTACAAGACTTGTTCTTTTGTTTTTTGGGTTTTTTTTTTTGCACATTACTCTTCACACACATAAATTGCATCCAGCATAGATGTTTTTACAGAAGCTTATCTATAGCTTCCATAGTTGTTACTGATTCATTTACACCCACCAGTTTTTTTTTTTTTAAGGATGCTATTTCCTTTGAACAATCAAACAGGCTATAAAACTTTTAAGTGAAGTAATATGCTACTAATTGAACAATTCTGATGGAGTTTTCAATGTCTTAACTGCTGCAGTGTTTCTGCTGTTCTAATATTTTTACACTAAAGGTCTTAAGTTATACATGGTAGTAGAATTCATAAAATGGATTTTGTAATACTCAAAAATAATTCCACCATTTTACTATCAGCTTTGTTATGAAATAATCATTAACTTTGACTTAATACCATTAATAAGCTCCTAGTTCTACCCTGAAATACCACCGATCAGTATACTCCAACAACTGCATAGAAGTATACTTAGTTGTATATTGCTTTTCTCATCTTTAAACTGATCCTAGTTTTTTCAGTATAGATGACTAACCAAAGTTGAAGTCAGTCAGTCTGAATTATTTAGCAATAACACATATCTGATGTTAGATTCTACAACAGCACCCAAAGTGATTCCACTTATTTACAAGGAAACACATCACGTCTATTTTGAGAACAAAAGTAATTGTAACAGAAAATTTCACACTAGATTACCTGCTTCTGAGGAAATGAAAAAGCCTCCTTCCCAACTGTATTAAGGGCAACATGATGCTGGCCCTCCAAAATAAGCTGCTTGTTGTCTTCCACAACATATGCCTACAGAAAACAACACAAAATCATTAGCAGACCAAAAACTATCATAAGTTTTATAATACAGAACTATTGACTTTCCTCCTAACTTAACTGAAGGATGTTGTACTGTTTAAAACCTAAAGGCTAGCACAACATATTTATTTTATGTGTATGCTTTTAATTTTGCAAGCACATACAACTGCTGAAGTTTAGATTGCCAATTTCCATTACTTAATATTTGCACTCTGGTAAATGAGATCCTCCCCTTCAAAGAGGACTGGGTCACTCTTACAGTTCTACGATAAAGATCAAGCATTAACAAACCCCTTGGTTTAAGATTTCAGAATTTTGTCTTTTAAGAGGAGAACTTAGAAGAACCGAGTGCATCCAATGTAATGGAAAGTATGTAACTTAAACATACTTATTACGCTAACAGCTATTGAGACTGTCTTTGCTTCTTGACATCATTTTAGTTCATTTGCCTGCTTTCAGAAAAAAAAATTGCATCCCTAAATTTGTATGAGTATGTTTGAAAGTTCAGGATGCCATATTAAATTATTTTCTAACAGTCATATTTCACGACCATATTACCACAAAGGCCACAACTATACATACCTTCCACAGTACAACAATGTTCAAATCGACTTCACTGCATTTTTGTATCAATCTGACTGTATCATCAAATGATTGTTTCACAGCCCTTTGAGATACATGAGTATGAGGTTGCACATGTGTTCTTTTAAATTCAGAGGATAAGCTTTGAAAAAAAAAGTCTGCACAAGGACTGGCTGAACTTATTATCTGCAAGAAAAAAAAGCAAGAAAGAACACTCTCAGAGCAGGATGCAAGCTGAGACAAAGTCTAACAGAGTTCATCACTGTAATATTTCAGTTCTATTATCTTGCTTTGCTTCCCTTTGCAAACCTACAGGATGCCACACATCTTGGTTTCCACACTGCCTTGTTAGAGATCATCCCTACCTATGAGCTGTCTAAGGTAACACAGGGAAACAGAGCTACAGATTTTTGGCCTAAAACTACAAATACAAAACTTTGAAATAAAGGCTTTGATTATTACCACCAGACAGCCTACTGTGATATATCAAGCGTAGTGGAGAGAGCTGAAAGTCCAACTAACTCTAACTCACGTGCAAGTCATTCTTGCTTGTTAATACTTTCCTCACATTATCTAGAATTATTTATCGAAGTTAGGAACATACATTTTGCTAGCAATAGCAAAGATAATAGATTGCACAGCATATTCCCCATGTATAAGTGTCACAGCCAGAAGTAGTGTGCTGTTTGTCAAGTTTATCATCATTAGTGCTGAGCTTTTCCAACACCAAAAGCGTGATAAGGAAGCAGTGGTTTTAGGACCAACATACTTGGAGACATCAGGATAAGGAAGAAACTTTAGCTTCCTAACCCCTCCCTTTCAAAAATGTTAGCCTTTCCAGAACATGCTATTGCAGAGCTGCTGATTGTTGCATTAGCAGAACACTCATACTCAGGGAGACCGGCAGCTTTTTGGAGTAACTGTCTGGAAGGTAGGGCCCCCTCCCCATCACCGCCATTAGAGAACACATTCTTACAAGAAAGCTGAAGTTCATGCAGCTCATCCAACTCTAAAAACGCAAAAAAGGATCATCTACCTCAGATTTTTAGTCCTAACTTCAATTTATATGCCTATAAAATGAAATGGCAGTGAGTCGGTTTTCTTTGGCTTTTAAAAGCTGGATACATACATGGAAAATGTACACTCAGCATAAAACAATCTGACATCCAGCTAATTAAATCTACTATGCTAATGTACATTTCTGATCTGATGCAAGTGGCCTACTTTCCTCAGGTGTTGGAAAAGCATTCACAGTACCAAGATTATTTGCTAAAAGGATTCTTCTTCAGACAATGCCTGTATGCTTAGAAACTTTAGGAGAACATGGTGGTCTAGAATGTTTCTTTGATTTTTCTTGAAGTTTAAGAGACTCCCTGAACTGACTGCAACCTACAGTAGTAGTTTTGAAATTATGGCACCTACATCCATTAGAGGTTTCCAGATTTTTGTTTTTAGAATAAGCTCTAATTAGAATTTTTAACTTACCATAGTAAACATACAATTAAGAAAAAACCAGAACAATATGACATGCACAGTTCTCTACTAGAAAACTAGAGGACTGGAAAATATTCAAAACAACTGTTCTGAAGAGTTGGGAAGGAAGGAAAAACATTACAAAAAAGTTAGCAATGTGCTCCCAAAGTAGTTCAGCTATGGAGTTTGGAAATTAAAATTCCAAACTATCCCCTAGCCTACACTACCTTACCTTCTCTTTGTAAAGAAGAGAGCTGAACTAGAAGACCAATAGTTTTGGACAGGCAAAACTCAACTTCCCAACTATGAAAGCACTGTTCCCATTTTTAAATTTTAAAAAAGGCTTTCATTGGGATACCTGCATATGGCAGGGATACCTTACACAAAACAAAATATGCAGTTGTGCCAGTTCACCTACCTGTTCATTTCCAAAGACAATGTCTGCAAATGTGTAATTTTCTAAGAGATAAAAAGAGAAGGCATTGTTTCAGTGCCATAAGTCACAACTTCAGCATACAGCATCCAAATAGTATTTTCTTCAAGAAGTTACCACATTCAAGAAAGAACCTACCTTCTGAGTTTTTGCATCTTACTGCTTTAAAGCATAACTTCGCTCTCTCTCTGCTAGCAAGTTTAGTATCTGAAAGAAAAAGGTTGCAAGATTTTTCCCCCCCTCAACACAGAGTCCCTCCTCATTAGCAAAAAGTCAGCCTTTAAACTGCACAAGTAAAAAAACACACTGACAGTACTCAAGAAGCATTACTATCACGCAGTTGCTCTGCTTGATTAGTTAAGATGAATTTTCTGTGACTGCATGGTAGTGAAGAAGATTCATCTTCTACTGACCCCTTCCATCAACTTCTAGAGCAGGAAGTGAGCCATAATATATACAGGAGATACAGAGAAAGAAGGTAGGAACAGAAGACAAGAGATCTTGGGGAGTGTTGATCTGCTGGAGGGTAGGA